CTGAACAGGCAGGGGCCAATGCCACAACCAGGCTCTTTTTCCTTGCCTTCCGGGCAAACCTCACCTAGGTTCTGTGCACAGCTTTCTCCTTGGGCCCCTCGTCCATTGCACTCTTTTACCTAGATCTCCCTTTCACAGTGTTTTTGGCAGCTCTTTCAGAGAGAGGAATTCCAAGAAAGGCTGGAGAAAGGAATTCCAAGAAAGGCTGGGGTTCCTGAAGGCAGGTGCTTCACAATACGACCCCCAGCACACACACACACACACACACACACACACACACACACACACACACCCCTCCCAAGCCTTACCATGCCAATTTGTTCAGTGTGTCAAGCATAAGAAACCTAGTCATCATTTCCAAACACATCTAACCTCTGCGCTTCATTCTCTACCTGGGGTGTTTGGCTCTCCCATCTCTACAGGGATCAGGTGGCCTGCTGTGTGTCCTCTTTCCTGATTCTTCCATTAAATGCCCTGTCTCCTGCCCTCAGTCAGTCCTATCCCCCTTTCTGGTTCTCTTGTGATGCTGGGGGATGGAATCCAGAGCCTTGTGCATGTCACACTGTACTCTCTTTGTGCTCCTCCAGTTGTCCCCCGTTCTTCTCCCCAGAGAAACACAGTTCACTCACTTCATTACAGCCGCAGCCAAGTCTGAAACCATCTACGGGATCTGCTTATCCTCATCCCGACACTGCCACACTCACACCAAAACTGCGCTGAGTGTGCACTGAAACACTAGAATTTTACAGATTCTGGAGGTCCAAACCCAGATCCTCATGCTCGCTCAGCAGGCATTTTACTGCCTCAGCTTTCTCGCAGGCCCTAACATTATCCTTTAATGGCAATAATAGTGATGATAATAATAATAAATCTATAACCTTTAGTAATTCTTTTAAAATCAACTCATCACCTCAAACTAACATTGCCTTTTGGTTAGGCTTGCAAACATATTGCACAGCAACACAGACAGAATTTTAGCTAGAACAAATTTCATTTATACTAAATTAATAATGCCAAACAATTAAAAGTAGGCACAAAGGAAAACTGACTGCCACCATTTTTTTCCCTATACAGAAAGATGCTCAGTTAAATGGAAAAAGTTTTAAAATTCTAGGCCTCAAACCGCAGGAAAATTGATCTGCTTAAGTATTTTAAGTATTTTTGTTAAGATTTCGATGGAGTCAATGTTAATCTCTTTGTTGAAAGGCGGCGGAGACACACTGAGATTTTGGCTTTCCTCTTTGTGGTGTTTTACAACAGCCTCATTCTACATAATTTATGAGAATCTAGGAACTTGAGTCAGATTTTCCAATGTCGGAATCAAAATGGGGAAGCAGAAAATAGAAAGGAGAAGGGGTTTTCTTCAGGCATCCTCAGCAAGAGAGCTTCTAAAAGGCACCATGCTAGCAGGTGTGCTGGCCCTCCTCATCCCAGGTACTTGGGAGGCTTAAGCAAGAGGTCACCTAAACCCAGGGGGTTCAAAGCCAGCTTGGGTGACCCAGCAAGACCCTGTGTACAAACAAAAACAAACCAAAAAAGGCACCATTCTGGAAAGCCTACATCGTTTTCTTTTTAAGGAAGTACAAATCGATAGCTAAGCTATCTATCTCTTCTTTAAAGGAGCTGGTATTGATGAGCACAAGAAGTAAAGAGGAAAGGAAACGCTGCTTCAGAAAACAAGAGTATGTGGGAGTCAAACTCAGATTTAACTCAGAATGAAATCAAGACCATTTTGCGATGCAAGACCTTCCCTAAGAGCCTCGGCTCTGTAACGTGGATCATGCCAAGCCTGAGTTCATACCCAGAGGTTTGATTTGTCCTTCTGCAGGCTGGATTATAGTACAATGTCACTTCTGACAGCTGCTTTGCAGCAAGTACTCTAAGGGATATCAGTGTGTACAAGATAAGTGAAGTGATTCAAATACCTTAATTAAACATCATTCCAATAACATAGTGTAGTTTAAGTCATTTTTAAGCAAGATCTTTCCAGTCGATCCTATTAAAATAGTGTTACTGTTTAATGAGAAGAAGTGAACCATGGCAGGAGTGGTTGCATGTGCCCATAATTCGAACATTCAGAGGCAAGAGGGTCAGAGGTCCAAGGGCAGCTTCAGCCACATAATGGGTTTAAGGCCAGCCAAGGCTACATGAGACTCTGTCTTGAACTCCCAATCTACAACCAGCTAGAGAATCCATTCTGCACAAGTAGAGAACTGAATTACCAGTGTGTCCCATCTAGGAGGTTTACCCAAAAGTGGGGTCACTCATCCCAATCCAGAAAGGGAGAGAAAGCTAGAATTTACCAGAAATATGAGCAAGAAAATCAGACTGGAAACTGATTTCGTAAACCAATAATACACAACATGTTCAGAACACACACATACACACACACACATACACCTGTAAGGAAAGCCAGAAACTCACAATACAGTACAAGAAACTAACTAATAAATCTTAAATACCAGAACAAATTCTTCTCATGTTGATATGATAGTAGAACCCCCCAGGAAAAGCTCTGGAAGTTTTTGAGGAGCATTGGGAAGAGAACATGGCAGAGATCCATGAAAAGAGAGGGCAGCTGAAGCATCTAGAAAGAGCCTCTGGGACTGGAGAAATGGCTTAGCAGGAAATAGTGCTTTCTGCTCTTGCAAAGGAACACGGTCAGTTTCCCAGTACCCACCTAGCAGCTCACAACTTGTTATTTCTGTTCCAAGGGATCTGGCCCCGCACCTGGCCTCTGCAGGCAGCAGACGTGCAAGCAGTGTACAGAGAAGCATGCAGGCAAACACTCAGACACATAAAATATAATGAATAAATCTTTAGAAATAATATCAGCATTTGTATGGGGTTCCTGTCCACTTGATACATTTCACAGTGAAGTCCTAATTTACAAACTATAAATACTTTTTAACCATGCCTTATCTCTTCTTTTGAGTCAACCTTATATTCCCCCAAATTAAGATTCTAAGTATATTTGTATGTTTTAAATTTCTTAGCACCGAGCTCATCTCAATTAAGTTGTAAAGACCAGTTGTGGGGGCTGGAGAGACGGCTCGGTGATTAAGAGTGTGTGTTGATCTTGTAGAGGCCCCAAGTTGAATTTCCACACCAAGCATCTCATAGCCACTTGTAACTTGATCTCCCAGAGACCCAGTGTCCTCTTCTGGACAGGTACCTGTACCCATACAGGTGCGTGCACACACACACTCAAACACACACACACACACACACACACACACACACACATGCATAATTAAAAGTGAAATAAATCTTTAGGAAAAATTAGTGTGTGGTCATCACAATGGTCCCTAACACAGCTGTGAAAATGATGGGCTGGCCTACACCAGAAGTGCCACCTGAGCATCCAGAGAATTCCTTTAGGCTACTGGAGTATCAGAAGTCAGTTTAGCAGTTACAGAAGAACACATTGTCGCAAAGTCATGAGAAGGAAGGAGATCAGATCTACAACTTCAATGGAAAGAACAGTATTTTCCAAACGCTGATAATGATGTTCCAGTCTACCATCCTGCTTAGACCGTAAGGACAGCTCTATGGTGTATTAGTAATTCTACCCCGCCCCTCCGTCTCACTGTGCACAGTCAAAATGCTACAGTCATTTCACCATGAGCATTTGATAAACACCATGCTCTATAATCTCTATAAAGATTAACTAAGAGAATTTAGGAAATAAGACTGAAGAAAATGAATGGATTTATTATAGGTTCCTTAAACAAAGGGGACTTATTGTCATTCAAATAAAAGTGGATCAAAGAAACAATCTATGTTGTTTAGGTTTTACATTGTTTAATTTAACTTTAGTGAACTCTTTGTTGTTGTTGTTACTGCCATCATTTCCCTCTTTGCAACAGTGTTTCACTGGCTAGCTCTGTCTGGCTTGGAATTCCCTATATACACCAGGCTGGCCTCAAATCCTCAGAAATCTTCCTCTCTCTGCCTCTGCCTCACAGAAATCTCCCTGCCCCTGATGCCCTGCTCAATTGATAGAGCCAACAAAGAACAACAATCCTTTCTAGTGAATTTTCATACTTACAGAAGGATCACCCCTACCACCATACTGCTTCCCTAACACAGCTATTCTTTGCACAATGTAGTCACAGTGTTAGAAATCACACATCAATAATCGCGGCAAGTGCTATATCTAGATACAGGTATCTTTATGACCTAAAGCAACGATTCTCGAACTTCCTTCAAGGGGGACCATTTCTTATATTATTTAATCTATTATCTACTAGTAATTTTGCAAAACACTTGAATTGGGTTGTTAGAATTTTTTCTTTGCTCTGGATTTTTTTTCAACTTTTCACTATTAGTGTGTGTAAGTGTGTATGATGTGGGCTCAGCAGTGTCAGGCCTGTGTCAGAACACATGTGTTGAGATCAGAGGGCGTTTCTTGAGAATACCTCTCTCCTCCCACCATGGGGTTCAGAAATGCAGCTCTGGTCCTGAGGCTAGCCCTCCTCTTAAAGACTTGCAAAATAAAAGCCTAACGTTTTATTACCATTATCAAATTCAACAGATAAAACTATTCCCTAAATTTCTGTTTTTAAAATTAACTTACAAATTAATGTGTTTATAGCTTTTTTTATGCACACACATATCTACATATATATGTATATATATATATATATGCATATACATATATGTCAATATGTGTTGCTCCTATTTGTCCCTCTCCTTGACTGCTGCTCTGTGTCACAGCCAGACCTGCACGTGCTGTTCCCTCCTCCCCTCAAACAGGCTATTCTCTTAAATTTCTAAAGTGACGCTTGCACGACTACCTCACAAATCTAATATATATCTGGCCAGCCATCACCAAGCACCTCCGAGGGACACTGGTGTGGGGCCACACAGTTCATATTTAGGGGTCCTGCTGAGCATTACACTCAAAGCCCCAGCACTGGCCCCTACCGCTGAGCCACACTTGACAGAGCGCTGGCCTAAAGCACCATGCACGTATTTATTTAAGAGATGTACTTTACCTCTGACATTCTTTCCAAAGCCCATTGAAGATACTTTTTTGTCCACTTGTTCGCTTGTCTTTGATTTCTCCTTGATGATGTCATCGTCACTAGTGACGCCAGCAGAAAATTTTTTCTTTTTCTTGTGTCGAGGCGGAAGCTTTTTTGGAAAAGTAAACATGGGGAATATCACAAGAAACATTGCAATGGCACAAAGGAGGAATCCACTCCACCTAAAAAATTGGGAAATGTGAGTAGCATTTATGGCTTCATTTTTGGGAATAAGAACAAATCAGAGAAACAAGTCTGTAAGGATAAAACTGCAGAGAAACAGTGTTACCGTCATCAGTTAAAAGGCAGAAGAAAATCGAACAAACTGAGAAAATAAAAATATTTGCCTTTCTGTGGTATGAATGAAAAAAAATCCTAATTATGCTAGGACTGTAGTGACTATTGTAGTCAACATCTTGATTAGAATGTCATTCAAGAAGTCTGGGTAGCTATGGATGTGCCAGTATGGTCAGTTCTGCTACACTTGTGCACTTCATGATGGTTTTGTTTTGCTTTGTTTTGTCTGAGCCTGAGTCTCATGTAGTACAAACTAACCACAATAGATTATCACTTCAGCGTGACCTTGACTTATCTGCCTTCCTCTACATCCCAAGTGCTAGGGGTGACAGGCATGAGCCACCACACCGGGCTACAGTAAATTTACTAGGGGAAAAAAATAAAAGACAATACCTTGAAAAGCACCATGCTGTTTTGTTTTGTTTTGTGGTGTTTTTTTTTTTTTGGGGGGGGGAGGGGGTCTTTTTTTTAAGTTTTTCAAGACAGGGCTTCTTTGTGTAGCCTTGGCTGTCTTGGACTTACCTTGTAGACCAGGCTGGCCCCTTATTCACAGTGATCAGCCTGCCTCTGCCACTTTAGAAATGCCAGAAATAAAGGCATGCGCCACCACCACCCAGTTCACCCTTCTTATTTCTTAAAAGAAAACGAATAACTCACGTGATTTGTGTTTTGTCTGTCTTTTTGATGCTAGCAACTGAAGCTAGACCCCCTAACTTCATGCCTAGTATAGTTTTGATTTCAGATGGGGTTCCAATACTTTTGCAAGCACTTAAGAATGTATTGCTTGCCCCCACTTATCTACTCCTCACAGTATTTAACAAACGTGATGGACATCATGACATTTAGAGTTGACCTTTGTCATGAAGAACTTAAAGCTACTGTAAGCCAAAACCATAAGAAAAAAAAAACCCTCAGAAGTAAAAGAAAGTATACAGCTGAGCTTGAATCTCATTTTGTAGTTTGTATGCCAGAAAGCTTCCTAGGGGGTGTATTATTGGCAATTTAGTGCTTGTGGAAGGTTAGGGATTGAAAAAAAAAATTGTTCAATGCATAAATTGAAAGACATTGGTTTAAAATGGAGGGTAGGTATCAGTGTTGGGGAACACAGCTAGGTCAGCATAGCTCCTTCAGAACTTGGCTGTTCACAAGCCACTGTCCCTAGCACACCCCTCTTTACCCTCTGGCATTAGAGTTCCCCACGCCCCCTCAGGAGCTAAACCTCACACACCCTCTCCTTGAGAGGGCAGGCAGTGAGCTCAGGGCATCCCTGAGCTGCGGCTTAGACACATCTGGTTTTGGATCCCGTCCCCACCGCTTACTGACTATGACATCTTGGGGGAATGTTTATTTAATACCAGTGTGTTTTGATATGGGGGTAGTGCACATGTCACGTGACATGTATGGAGGTCAGAGGACAACTCTGTGGAATCAGTTCTCTCCTTCAACCTTTATATGGGTTCTGGGGAGTGAATTCAAGTAACCAGGCTTGCACAGCAAGCAACTTTACCCACTGAGCTATTCTGCTAATTCATGAGAGACACTCAAATCTATTCCCAGATGAAGGGAAGAACTATAGCAAGGAAATAAAAAAGGGACAGCTTGCAAAGCAAAGCAAACCAGCTCATATTCTTCAATAGCTTCAAGAAGTGGCCATACGAAATGAGATGAGGCCATCCCCTGAGCACACTGCTCAACAGGATTCCGAGAAAAGCCATGACAGGAGAATGTCCAGCATTCGCTGAAAAAATTCAACACAATAATTGTTAACATTGAGAGGCCCAGATATCTAAACCCCTTTTGTGAGCCATTATTCAGGCCAGCCACAAGGTAGGCAGTAGACTGACAAATGGTTCCATTCCTGTCATTTCCCTCACCCAGCACACCACACTGAGGCTTTATTCAAGTAATTCAACTCACCTAATAGTAATTTCCTGACTTATAACGTGTATGATGTTAAAGGCTACACTTGATTGTTAAAATGGATTAAATGAATATGTGTATAAAGTTTTTAGTATAATGCTGGACACAGAGTAATAAATACCAGCATGTTTAATAAATACCAGCATGATTTCTCCCTTCAGTCCCTCACTTCTCTTTAATGAAAATTCATCTTTGCTGTTGAGCACTGCATTCAATGGGAAACCTATTATCGGCAAGACTACTGAATAGGAAAAATTTCAAATTCATTTTTAAACAGACTTGGATAGTTCTAAACTGACAATCTTTTCTAGAATTAAGATTTAGAAAAAAAAATAAAAATAAAAAAAAAGATTTAGACATCAAGCAGATAGATAAAATTATCTGAATATTGGTAAAATTCAAAGCACTGAAGATGCCTTCATTGGGCAGTGCAGGTCCATAATTCCAACTACGCAGGAGGCTGAGGCAGGCGGACCGCAAGTTCAAGGCCAGCCTTGGCTACAAGTGAGTTCAAGGCCAGCCTGAGCAACTTGGTGAGACTGAGTCTGGAAATCAAAAGCTAAAAGAGAAAGCTGGGAACGTATCATGGGGATAGAGCGCTTGTCAGGTTTATGTAGGACCCTGCATTTGACCCCCTTTTGAAATGAAAACAAAACCAACAACAAAAAAAGAAAACAGAACTGAAGGCCAGGACTACTAGACATCCAAAACAAGACAAACTCAAGAGCTCTCCATAATCAACTCACAATAACTCACAATAACCCTCTACAACTAGGCACCCCAAGTCCACACTGGTACTAGGAACACACTAGAGAAATGAGACATTAGTCTATGTTCCACATAGAACCATTTTGCCACCGGTTGGATAAGCCTCTTACCCACTAGACAACTGGTAAACAACAGCATAGGGCACGATCGGGCTAAAACCATCCTTTCATCCCGTTACCCTTCCATTGCTCCTTCTGTCCTTCCCTCCCTGTGTTCCCTTCCTACCACCCTCATCTCCAGTTGTCTAAGTAGGACGCTGGACATACATGGACATTCGTCAGTATGCTTTAGGACTCTGTTTTCTAACAATGAAAAACTATTCCTATTCTGAGTCATTCCAGAACCGCAGTGAAAACAGCTGAGATCAAATTTTTCACTGTCAGTCAAGCTGTCAAAGCCCATGTTATTCCCCCGCCACTGACATACATGCTGCTCTTCCTAGTATGACTCAAACACTCCCCAGGCCAAGTCCACCTGGCTTAGTCCATCGAGGTTCAATGAAGATTACAATAAAAATCAAACTGTCGAATGGCCTCGTTAATATCTATTAACTGCTTAGAAATTTGTGTTAAGTGTATTTCTCACCAATCATGGGAGTTACAGGGTTCTCAGCCTATAACAAAATAGGGTAAAGCTTCTAATCACCCCTTCAGAAAGTAATTATATGACACATGTAATTGCTAATACAAAAATATTGTTTTGCCATAAGATGAAAATCTGTCAGTATACACCTGCTACTGATCCTGCAAAATGAACTCAGGGCAACAATATTTTCAGTTAGTGGCTTTGCTGTCATGAAGACATAACCTGTTTTATTGAAGCTGAGGACTGTGAAGAACTAAAACATAAATCTGACTATGCAGGTAAATAGTACACCACCTAATATTGAGAGTCCTGAGCATCACTTATATGGCGGGACTCTTAACGTTCAGCAAGTGAGAGAACAGCTAAGTGTACAGCCCATCTTAGGAAACAAACTATTTCCAAAGAGAAAAGATGTTCACAGAGGGGAGTAAAGGAGAAGGGGGGCTGGAGGTCGAGCCAGAGAGGGCACGCACTTCTTAGTCTTGTCAGCTCCATACCGACTAGAGTCACCAGGAAAGGACTGTCAGCTGGAGAATTGGCTCCCTCAGACTGGTGGGCACTTTCTCTGTCAATGATGGTTGCGAGGGGTACCCAGCCTACTGTGGGGTTCCATCCCGAGGCAGGTAAAGCTGTAAGCTGAGTGAGCCCGGAGGAGCATGTCAACAAGCAGCATGCCTCCGTGTTTTCTGCTTCAAGCCCCTGCCTTAAGAGTTTCTGTCTTAGCGTCTCTCAATGATGGACTATGCCCTGCAAACTGACACAAATCTTTTGTTCACCACCACCCCTAAGATAGTTTTGGTCAGTGTTTTATCACAGCAACAAAAACCTAAGTAGAACAGAAAGCACTTTTTTTTTCTCTCTCTCTCTCTAAAACAGAAAAAAGGTGACAGGAGATAAGGTTTAAGCAGCTTCCCAGGAAAGTTCCCTCGGGGTCACAGATGTCCTCTTCGCATACTCTGCTTTAGACACAGTAACCCAAACACCTGTGTTAGTTTCCTGTTGCTGACATCATAAGCTATCCCACGTGGAGCAACTTCCATAACACAAGTGGAACAGCTCCAACAACACACTGGATCAGCTCCCAGTTCTGGGCTCGCATCTACACATCTGAAAATCCAGGCTGAGGAAGAGCCCTTTTTTCCTTTCTAACTTCGAGAGGCCCCACCTGTATTCTTTGGCTCACATCTCCACTCTAATCAGCAGATCTTCTGAATCTGGGTGCTTCTCTCCCTCTTCACCTAAGATACTCTCCCCCCCCAAAAAAAATAATTACTAATTTGATCCCTTCTTCAAAGTCCCCTCACCACATAAGGTCCCATATTCATGAGCTCTGGAGATAAAGAAATGCTGGGTTGTTTTTTTTTTTTGTTTGTTTTTTTGTTTTTGGAGGGGGGGTGAAGAGGTTATCCTGCCTGCCATCTGTTACAGGTAAAATCTCCACACGTTTTCCCTCTTTGCTGGAGAGATTATACCTACAGAGAACTACTGACTGGCTGCCTGTAGTAAGAGGTGGGATGCAAAATGTGGGAGACACTCACCAGTTTCCGATGAAACGAGGGTCGTTCTGGTCAAGGTGAACGGGGTTTCTGGGATCGACATAAAAGCCAATGAGCAGCCCACCCAGCAGGTACCCTACTGCAGGGCCAAGTGCTCCCATGACGTACATGATGGCTGAGGAGACAGAAGGGGAAGGTGACAGATAGCAACATCACACAGAGCCGAACGTTCTCTGCCCTTAGTGTCACGCCGAGTATGTCACAGCTGCGTTCACTGGCTGTCTTCTGAAATGCTCACGATGACCTCAGCCTCCATGCTTTGCCCTTTTCTGCGCTGGTGCCTGTTGCCTTCTTTCAGCATCAGAGTCACTTAATCGAGCTTTGCAGTTGCTTCCGTTTGACTTTAAGACGTGATTCCAAGCCCCACCTCAGAACCACCAGATTAAAACGTCTTTTTTAGTATTAGCGTATGTTGATTGTGTATAATAATGCGTTTCATTGTGACATTTCGTGCATGATGTGTTTTTATTATAGTCACGCCCGTTACCTCTCTGTTCCCTTCATGCAACCCCCCTCCTCTTCCCACCTAGTCCCTCCTCTACTTTACTTACATGCCTTTAATTTTTTTTTTTTATGACTTCATAAGTTTCATCGGGGTTGCTTACAGGGTCCTGGGTGAGGGATTTACATTCAATTTTTGAGTGTAGTGTCCCAGGCTAGTTAATGAGGCCATCGTTGGCTAACCAGGGAAAAGGGAAGGGAAGAGAAGGAGAGGGGACAGGAGGGCAAGAGAGGGGAGGGGAGGACAGGAGAGGGAAGGGAAGGGAAAGGGAAAAGGAAAATGGAAAAGAAAGAAAAGGAAATATCCTCCAAGAAGAAAAACAATGGGTATTATTTGTCACCTTGGAAGATTGTAGCAAGATGACAAATTTGGAGGGCAGAGCTGTCCTGGAGGCTGGATTCGGTTGAACTGGCAAGCAGCTGGCAGGCATTGCTCAAGTGCCCTCCATCAACTAATATTTCTGCTAACTACCATTTTACAATCAAATAAGATATTAGAATGTATTCAGTTCATTGCTGATTGAGGAAGCTTACTTTAAAAAAAAATAAACATCCCTAAATGACACTACTTAGAAGGTCTAAGTGGGAAACAGCAACCACAGATGGACCAGAAAATAGTTTGTTAAAAACCTATCTAAACAGCCAGGTCAGGATGTCTCACTGTACACAGGTCAGAAAGGCAGTCGCTGGATCCAAAAGACATCTGCCATCAAAATGGATTTGTGGAAAAAAAAAAAACCAGCAAAGCTATTAAGATTATTTTGCTAAGTTTTTGAGAGACAGGGCAGTACCCCAGGCTAGCCCTGAGCTTCGGCTCTCCTTACTGCATCAGCCTCCGGGTTATGGAGGTCCAGGTGCATGCCACTCTTCCTGCCTCTGATTCATTCTTCCGTATTTCTATTTTTACTTCTATAACTTAAAATTCTGAAATGCCACCTTGAGCTAGGACGACATGGAATTCCTTGAAAGTCACTGAAAATCCTGGACACACTCCTGACTCATTTCCTCCTACTCAACATCCATACCTGGGGACAAATCCATAGACATGTTCAAGTCCCTGCTGCCTGCAAGGCCAGGAATAACAAACACCGGTGTTAAGCGTTTCTCATTTCTGCCAGTGTTGTAACCACCAAACAGATAGGATGTCTAATCATCTACACTGTCACCAGAAAATTATCAGAATGGCTTCGCTCTACTTTATTCTCTACACCTGAATAAATGTTGACCTTGTCGCTGCTGTTAAGGTCATGGACGAGACCACGACTGCAATTCAACACCTTCTCTCACCTTTCACAGTGAGAGAAATTACAAATATAAATCACAGTGCTCGCTGTGCAGAACCAGCCACTATTACCATACGACTGTGGGTGCTTCCATCCCCAGTGAGAGTGGAGAACAGAGACGAGCCTCAGATAAGCAGCACTCCTCCAGAAGCATGGTTTTCATAGACAAAATTGGGTTTTTTGACAAACCCCTTGATAATCGCCCCGTCTACAGCCTCTACTGTCAATCAAAAGCAGGAAGCACTTCTTTAAGGTATGGGCGGTCGTGTATGCACAGGAAGGTAAAATTAATGTTTACAACTCCGAGCAAGCCACACCCACATAGAACTTAACACTGTAGTGAGGCCAAAGCGGGACATGAGCCACCATCCCCAAACAATTCTGCTGTGGGAGAGGCTGTCTTGCACACACAGACCCGGAAGGGGTACTGTGGCCTTGCTGTTTACACCTGGACGCATGGCATGGACGAGTGAAGAAGAGCACGTGTGTCCAGCAAGCCCACGAACTTGCTCAGGGGATGGAGAATCCATCAGGGAACAGTCACCGGAAAAACCTCAGCTACTCTATAAACTTGAGCTGAAACTTTTAAAATCCAGGGACTTAATAAGGAACGTTTGCTCTCACTTCGCAGCAAGCACATGAAGTCCAACAGAATCACACAGGCACACATATGCTCAGGCACATACATGCACACGCATGTACCCACACACAGCACATGTGCACACGAATGCGCTTGCACATACACACTCGTGCACTCACTCAAGTACACACACAACACACATATGCACACGCACACACCTTTGCCTTTGCCAAGCTCCCCCTCCCTAGCCAGGGTTTTCTCGGAGCCTCACAGCCTTCTTGAAACTGGACTGGATTTCCACGCCATCATTGATCTGTCACCTATCGACTTCTGCCTCTAAGTTTGCTCCCCGCCTCCAGCTTCTCACTGCTCTTTGCATGTAGCTCCTGGTGTTCCCACTGGGCCGGGACTTAACCTTCTCAGCTGCCTCATGCGACCATCACTAATCTCAAGAAAGACCTGATGCAGACAGTGAGCTATAAATGCGAGTTAGGTCCAGGCTCCGAATCTGGGCTTGCACCTAAAACCCCAGACTCATCCTGAGGTCCTTAGACGCCTACTGAACCCAGCATGGGACACAGTAATGGAAGGGCACCTCTGTGGATGCTTAGTGACACAGCTACAGAAGACAAGAGACAAAGCAATCCACACTCCGAGGCACTATTGCAGCAGCGATACCAGCTCTCATTCTGATTACATTCAAGTTCCTGGAAGACTGCCAACACACTCCATTGTATCAGGGCCCCAGATTTAAAGAAAATGTTCCTTCCCTCGTTCCTTCTACTCACCAGTACAGACAGGGATAAGGGCCCTTTATTCTCAGTTATTTTGAGAAGTGATTTTTCCCCCCTTTTAAAAGATTCAATTACTTTGACACAGACCTGACAGCAAAAGACCAGCTGCCACAGCAGTCGGGGAACAGTCTGTCACTTGCTAAGGCAACCAGGGAGCATCTCGGGTCATGAAGAAGAGGGGCAAAGAAGGCCTTAAATAGATTCCTTGCTTCTCCTGCTAGCAGCAGCCACTGGTTCACATCAAGAACCGTCCTGTGCCTTTTCCTCTTACTGGGCTGCCTTGTCCAGCCTGATAGGAAGGTCTGTGCCTAGTCTTATTGTAACTTGTTAGGCCGTGTTCGGTTGATATCCCTGGGAGGCCTGCTCTTTTCTGGAGAGACACAGAGAGGTGGAACTTAGAGGGGAGAGGGGAAGAAAAGACTGGGAGGAGAGGAGGGAGGTGAAACTGAGGTGAGGATGTCATATATGAAAGAAGAACAAATGACTACAGTAATTTCAAAAAGAGTTGTCTCATAGAAATCTGAAAATTGTTTAGGGTGTAACTTGTCCCCTCAAAGATAACGTGCAAGAATCCATTTGCCCTTAATTAGTATCTGGGGCCTAGAAAAAGGCTAGCCCATGTGCTGTGACTTCAAAGCGTCAATGTGGCCACCTGTGAGTATGCACAATCCGTGGCCGAGGACAGGCCCCAAAGACAGCTGTCAGGAAGGCTGAGAAATGTTAGCCCATTTTTCAATTGTTTTTCCGCTCTCAAAGTACCTCGACTTTTATTAGTGAGCTAGGAAAAAGGAAGAAGGAAACAAATCGACAGTTTTATAAAAAGGTAAGAACGAGCTCTCCAATAATTCAAACAGCAACTGCACAAAGCTCATCAAAAGACTAGTGAAAAATATGAGAGAGAGAGAATGCAAACAGTAAAATGTGAAGCTAACCGGTACCCAGCAGAGTGGACTAGCGACTCTTACAGGTACCTGGTGCAGCCCTGTGCAGTCAACCTCTTAACGTACTGACGCACATGGGTGCAGGTACGTCCCTTGAGGTTTTGAGACCGCCTCGTGTCTTCCAGCCTGACTTTCAGCTGGAGAGCTGAAGACAGCTTTGCGGTCCCAAGTATCCACATTCACCTGACGCTCCCGCTTGAGTCACGCAAGGCATGCTGGGCACGCACGCCACCACCTGAGCTCCAGCCCAAAGACAGCGTTCATCATTACGCTCTGTACGTAGAGAGACACAGGCGACAGCCGTAGCAGGGAGACCAAGTAAACAGAGGGAGGGAGAGTGGCTGTTAATATCAATAGTTATGAAAAGCTTTATACCTTGGGAAAGTACTTGTCCCTAAAGTGTGAGCGAAAATAAAGAATACAAAGTACTTTGACAGTGTGGTTATGTTTTCCAGAAACATAAACTTAAATTTAAAATGTATATTTTTTTAAAAAATCAATATAAATAAATAAAGTTTAAAAAACAAGTTCACAAAAGCCAGGCGTGATTGTGCACACCCTTAACCCCAGCACTCAAGGAGGTAGAGGCAGGCAGATCTCTGTGAGTTCGAGGCCAGCCTCGTCTACAAAGTGAGTCCAAGCCAGCCAAACCTACACAGGGAAACCCTGACTTGAAAGAATAAAAAAAGTTCATAGAGGTAATAAACAAGTTTGGAAAGAGTGAAAGATACAGATGAATATTAAAATCTACTATATATATGATACGTATACTATATATGTATATATATATGCAAAGATCAGGAGCTCAATAGCATTTACAAGGGCATCAAAAATATAAAAATGTGAGGTATATTGGAACAATATTATATGTGTTACATATACTATATGTATACACACAGACACACACATTGAGTGGTGACAAGATGGTTCAGTAAGGAAAACTGCATTCTACCCAAGCCCGATGACCTGAGTTCAATCCCTGGAACCTACACCAAAACGCCAGGTGCAGCAGCATG